AGTCCTGGGGCTCCTGGGCACTATCCCCAAGCCTCGTAAAGTCTAGTGCTCAACCACTTGAACCAGTGTCATGCTGGCTTTTTCTGAGTGGTTTACTGGAGTTCCCAGGCCAGCTTTGAACTGTGATCCTCAGATCTCAGCCTCCTGAGTAACTAGGATTACAGGTGTAAGCCACCAGTGCCTGACTACTTATTGCTTCTTAATTTTCATCTACTGAGTTAACTAGAATCACAAACATGAGCCACTATACCTGGCTTTACTCAGCCAATCTTTATTACTAATATTTGAGGTAGAACAGAAAGACCATGGCTTTGGAGTAAAGCAGCTATGGTTGGATCTTCCTTTACCACTTTAAAGTTGTGTTTTGAGTAAACCAACCTCTAATCCTGTTTCCTCTTCTACAAATGACTTATCAACGGCCATATACGATTACAGTGAGGATTAAAAGACACAATAATGTTTACACAGCCCTTAGTAATGGTTTCCTTCGTTCTTAAACATTTTTAATGTTTGTTCTTTACATTTTCATAATTTTATACTTATTCACGAAATTTTGAGCACTCAACTTCATATACTAAACATTGTGCTGTGTTAAGGCTAAACCAGGAAACAAAAAAAGACTTTATGTCATTTACTGTAGTCAGTGAAACAAACACTAATCAAATAATCCAAATGTTAATTTTCCAAGCACTACACTATTCAAGAATGAAATAACAAAGCAAGTAATGGTGGGTTTGCCCAAACCAAGAACTCTCCCTTATGTGGTGAATAGGTAGGAATAAGACACAGTGGAATAAGAAAGGGTACTCCAGACACAAAGAACAAAATATGTATCTTTTTATTTTCACGTGCCTGTATCTTCAAACCTAGTCACTGGTGACTGAGTAAAACAAATAGGGAGACTAGTATAGCAGGCATAGGAGAAGGAAACACCAGCCAGAAAGAAATGGCCAGAGATGCAGAGCTGTGTAGAGGACATTACATTAAAAGCAGCGGTCCACTCTAGAGTTGTCAGGCTTATACTGTTTGTTGCTTCTAGGAGCACTCTATTTCTCAAAAACCTATGGTGACTCTAGGAAAACAAATTTGATTTGAGCAAGGGTGAATGTGAGCTCAATTTGGAGTCAAGGAAATTAAAGAACTTAAGCTAAAGGAGACTACATTCGTTTAAAAAAAATAGGAAAGCTCAAGGATATAAGCAGAACATCTCTAAAGGATCTCAATGTAAGAAGTGTTTCAAAGCCGCTTTTGCTAAAAAGCTCTATCAACTCGACCCTACTTCCTGAATAGTGGCTGAATAAAAAGATGAAACCGAGTGCAGGGGTGCAGCACAGTGGCCTACTGCTGGCCTAGCCATGTGCAAGGCCCTGAGTTGATCTCTAGCACTAGTGGTAAAGTGCTTTCTTAGCAAGCTTGAACCAGGTACAGTGGCTCCCATATGTGATTCTAGCTACTACTTAGGGAGGTTGAGATCAGGAGGGCTGTGGTTAATGGCCAGCCTGGGTGAAAAATAGTTCCTGAGATCCCCGTTAAAAGCTGAGGGTGGTGGTGCACATATGTCATTTTGCTTTGTGAGCAGTACCTATAGAAGGATCTCGATCCAGACTCTACTAAATACATAACTAAGAACTAGGAGAGCTGGGAACGTGGCTTAGTGGTAGAGCGCTTGCCTAGCATGCATGAAGCCCTGGGTTCGATTCCTCAGCACCACATAAGCAAAAAGAAAAAAGCCGTAAGTGGTGCTGTGGCTCAAGTGGTAGAGTCCTAGCCTTAAGCAAAAGCAGCTCAGGGACAGTGCCCAAGCCCTAAGTTCAAGCCCCAGGACTGGCAAAGAAGAGCTAGAAATGTGATTCAAATGAGAGCCTGATTAGCAACTGCAAACCCCAGTACCAGCTAATACCAATGAATTTTTAGTGCTTATTATCAAAGTTTATGTTACACTTAATTATAAGGTGATTAACTGGTATTTAGTAAATTTTTGCCAGCCAAGATTTTTCATGAGACGTGTGAACAGAAAGTTTTGAAAATTATACTGGCAAACACATTTCTTATTTATGAAACAAAATCTCCAAAATTAAAAATGATCAAAACATGACTTTCTCCATTTAGTAAATATATATGTATATATAGATTCACATAAAAATACAATCATGAGCTTTCATGTTTATTCAGCTTCACAGAAATCAAAACTGTCTGAAAAATTGGTTATCTAAATATCAATTGTTCATTATTGTGACATAATACTACATAGCAGAGAGATATGCCTACATTAAATAAACTTTTAGATGCCTGACTTTCCTGCAAGTAGGCAAAAGGAAATCTTAAAAATCAAACTTATAGCCAGGAGCTGGTGGCTCACACCGGTAATCCTAAGGAGGCTGAGATCTGAGAATCACCATTCAAAGCTAGTCCAGGTAAGAAAGTCTGTGAGAATCTTCTCTCCAATCAACCACTAGAAAACTAGAAGTGGAACTGTGACTCAAAGTTGTATAGTGCTGTCCTTAAGAAAAAAGCTCAGGGAGAGTGCCCAGACCCTCAGAGTTCAAGTCCCACAACCAACAACAACAACCACAAAACAAAACAGAAAAGAAAAATCAAACTTTCAAGGTGTAAGAAGATACAGAAATTCATTTCACCTTTAATACCTGGAACAAGTTTTACAGCCATAGTTGTAATTTACATATATAGTGGAGCTCACTGAAAAAGGTTCCTGTTGCACCACAGCAAGAACTTTTATGGTAATGTAGACAGACCACTACAGAGTACAGCAAGATAAACTCACTGAAGAATCTGAACATTTTCATAATGGAACTTGTTTCAGTGAGTTAAGTATTTTCTTAATGTTATACAGTACATATTGTAAAAATGAACATTATCACTGCAGAATTGTGCTAACAACTGTTAGCAATTAATGTTTTATACATATGTAATTTTATTTTAGTTCAGGTATGTGGCTCTCCAAATGTTAGTACATGAAATGTTAAGTTTAAACATGGTAAGATAAGCCCCTAAGATGGAAATTCAGAACATCAAAACTTTGATCATTATTGCACCTATTTTCCTACAGAAAAATGAAATTTTTTACATCAGAATCCTCCCCAAAAGTGAACAGACAGGTTGTAAAATTACAAACTTATTGGCATTAAACATGAACAAAATGTACAACAAAGTTTGTGAAATGATATACAAAATATTAATGTGCAATGAAATTTGGTTTACTATAATCATGCAAATAAAGATCCTCCACAAAATTTTTTTGTATGCTTTATAAAATGGTTTTAAAGATATATTTCCATAAATATTTCCGGTGCAATTTAGTCAATGACAAAAATACAAAGCTATCCTTTATTCTTTGTTGATTTTAAAACATGCCTTGGTACTGCTAAACAGAAATAGCACTGCTTGGGAACTGAGCTAATCAAACATTTCAAAACCAAGAGTATCTTGATCAACATTAGCTGATAGACTATACAGCAGCCTCCCATCATTACTGGTGTTCTGTACTGTTGTAAGTGAAGGTAGTTCAACACTGACGGATTAAGACACAATTTAAAACCTCTTTGTAAAAATAAAAGGTTGCCTAAGTATTAAAGAAAAATAATCACACCAACTGTGATACATACTGGAAAATAGTAAAATGTCATTTTCTAAAATAGTAACTTCTTTATTACAGTTCCCATCTGTTATAAGCAATTTTGGAAATATACCTTAAACATAATGGTGTATTATATGAAAATGCTTCACTATTCACCATGATAGAGTTTAATAAGTTAGAATACGATTTTCTTTTCTGTTGTTAATAACCATGAAAATAACAAAAGAACAGCACCTGAAACACTAAGCTGAACTGATGTTAGCATTAAGAAGTAATGTATGTTTTGGTTCAATATACAGTTTATACAACTGTATAAAGGATACTGCCATAAGTAATTTGTTCCTGTACTTTGCAGATCTGCTATAAGTGCAAGCCCACTTCCCTCTGATCTGATATCAGAAAGAGCAAGATGCTAACCACAGTAACTGGTATAGCTGCCTATGTCACCTCTTCCCTGCCCCTCCCCCCAAAACAAGTTTTTTGGCTCCAAAATAAAGTACAATAATAAACTCTTGATGAAAAACTATGTTATGGGGCAATCTATCATATACTATGGCTAAATGTAAATTTACAGAAAAAAGTACATCCCATTTTCAGCACTTTTTTTCATAAACATGCAATTCACTATAAAATACAAAACACTTGGCTTTCAAGAACAGATCTGTAAGGACACACTGCATCAATAAAATTTTTCTTTCTGGTTAACTTTACACTGTTATGGAGAACTGGAACTTTTCTAATGTGTATACATCAGATCTTATAGTCTAGTAATTTGAATTTTCTGAACATAATGTTCAAGAGAAAATAGCTATACATAATAACATTCTAGACTATTAAAAACTCAAGTTACAGAATTTTATTGATACAGTAGATTAATAACTGAAAAGGGATGATATAATGGGATAAAGAATTCAGTACATTATTTTATAACACACTCTTTAAAATTAAAATATTTTAAATCTCTCTCTTCTTACAATTGTCATTGCCATGAAAGGCCAGACAAATTCTGGGACCAATACTGAAGAGTAAAGCAATGAGACAACTTCAGGATTATTTCATAATTTGTACGGTGCCCTCCCATCTGAGGCATCATTCTAGGATAATGGCAGACAAGTCAGCACCTCTGAAGATGAAGGTGCCAGGGCAGACACTAGGTAAGATACACAAGGGGGAGAGACCACTTAGCTCTCCAACAAACAGTGACATCAAGAAAATGACACCAATTGTTGAGAAATATTTTTCACAGTAAAATTGCAGAGAATACAAATACAAACACTGACAGATTACTGCTTAAGGTCTTTCCTAGCAAGCTCTTTTCGAATCAATAGATCCAATAAACAGTTGGGTACTGTCAGTTTAAAGCCGTAGATAAAAGCTATACAAGCACTTCAGAAGTCAGAAACATAAAAAAAAAAAGTTTATTTACAAATTTCTTCGTAGTTTATGTCTACACAGCCATCAAACATCACAAAACTTCGGCCATCGTTACTGCTGTGTGCATTGCTAGCACGTGACCATCCATGTGAGGTCCTGAGAAAGGCTCACTGTCCTATCCACAGTTCCACTTTAGGTATCAAGGGTTTTATCCAACCTCACGCTTGGAGAGAAAAAAAAAAGAATTTCCCCAAAGCTTTCACAAAGAAAGTTAATTACATCTGTTTCATCGCCTTTCCCTTTTAGAACTCCTCCGTCGTACCTTAAGAGAAAAGTCACCAGATGGTTAATTAAAATGGATATGCATAATCATTTTTTAATTTTTAAAAATCATTTTCATATACTTGAGTTTCAGTGATCATTTTTTAACCAATCCTAATTCTTGCTTGTTCCTGACTTTGCTTTCTTTAAAGCCATTCTCCTAAACCTTCTGCCCCTGGCTTTAGACCTCTGCAATGTCTAAGCCTATGAAATAGCCTTTCCCAAGCAGCAAATAATCTCTATTTGTTTAGAGAGTAACTGACAGAAGCTAAGGTCCACAATAAGAAAAACAAGAAAAGATATTTTCATTCTTTCTGTGATAAAGAAAATGTCTGATGCTCTGGCAATTGTCTTTTTGGAAAAGCCTAACTGAACTTGGTTTCCAACAACTATCAATTACATAAAGTAATGTGAAATTCAAACACATCAGCCTTTAGTGGTAAGCACTAATGAAAACTTAAAACTTTAGTTCAAACATCAGGAATGGAAAAAGAACAGTTTAAATCTAACTAGTTTGGGGCTGGGAAGGTGGCTCAGTGGTAGAGCGCTTGCCTTGCATGCCTGAGGACCTGGGTTGAATTCCTCAGCACCACATAAGCAAAAAGAAAAAAGCCGGAAGTGGTGCTATGGCTCAAGTGGTAGAGCGCTAGCCTTGAGCTGAAGAGCTGAGGGACAGCGTCCAGGCCCAGAGTTCAGGCCCCACAACTGGACCAAAAATAAATAAATAAATAATAAAATAAAATAAATTTAACTAGTTTACTGTGTAGTTCTTCTCTGTTGAAAACATCAACTGCTATTGACTCTTCACTCTTACTTTTATATCCCCAACAAACCTTTTAAGAAATAAACCAAGATAGAAATAACTTAAATGCTTTAAGCACCAATATTAAACTTGAACATGATAGTCAAGTAGACTTGATGATTACATGTTCACTGGGCTATACCTATTATTCTGCCTAATTTCAGGCTCCCATCAAAGTTATGTTCTCCATTATCCAAGCTAGTAAAAAAAGGACACTATAAACTAATAAACACATGTTAATTCTTGCAAGTGCTAAATGGCCTTAACAAAATATTTACTATTTTTATATTTCACAAAGGACGTTAACACATACATTTATTACAGAAACTTCCTCTTCCTCTGTTTCTTCTTGTGTAACATCATCATGGACAGGAGAGCTGCCCTGAAACACATCTGCTTCTTCACTTGAATCATTCTCTTTAGTAGCTACTTGTTTGGAGCGTCCTACACGGCTACAGTAAAACATACATAAAATAAAATGAACATTTTGATCTTAAAAATGAACATTTTGATCTTAAGATGTAGATTACATCAGAACAAGTGTTTCAAGTATTTTGTAAATTCCTGTATGATTTTTATCCTCAATTATGTAAAGAGATGTTTTTATATTCTGACCTGTAAACCACTCTTTTTTGAGGGACTGCCTCAAATTCAGGGACTGAATTAAATGCAGGGACTGCCAGGCACTGTCCCTGAGCATTTTTGCTCAAGGCTAATAGTCTACTACTTGAGCCACAACTCCATTTCTGGCTTTTTGGTAGATGGTTAATTGGAGGTAAGAGTCTTAGACTTTCTTGCCGAGGCTGCCTTCAAACTGCAATTCTTACCTCTCAGCCTTCTGAGTAGCCAGGATTACAGGCATGAGCCACTGGGATCTGGCTCTTAAGTCATTAATTTTTACAGTTTTCATATACAGTGATCTAGCAAAGAATGAAGAGTATGACTAAGACCATATCATAAAAGATTTCAAAACACACTTGAAGTCTGTTCCATTTTTCATCTTTCCAATTCAGTAAAGGCACTAATAGGCAGTAAGCTGCTTAGTGCAGACTTTTTTTTGGGGTGGGGGGTAGGGTGGGAGGCAGGGCCTGGGCACTGTCCCTGAGCTTCTTTTTGCTCAAGGCTAACACTCTACCACTTGAGCCACAGCACCACTTCTAGTCTTTTCTGTTTATGTGGTACTGTGGAATTGAACCCAGGGTTTCATGCATGCTAGGCAAGCGCTCTAAGCCCCATTCCCAGTTCCTCAGTGCAGAAATTCTTTAAGCAGAGAACAGCATTCCAGCCTTTATCGAGCCCTATGTATTCCACCTAGAGAAAGCTTAAATCCATTCACTTCTCTCAACCTCCAGTGCTATTACCTAATCCAAGCTATTCCCACCTTTTTGCTTCTTCTCTTTTCATAGTAATGTTTTAAAAGTCTAACAACAGATGATGTCCCTCCTCACAGATAGCTCTCCAATGGGTGAAGAATAATGTTGTGACCCTTCTACTGTACTACATGAAGCCCTGTAATAATGCCTACCTATCTGCATTCTCCTGACTCTCTCCTCCCCAACTCCTGGCAACTACAATCAACTAGCCAAGCCTTGCTTTCCTTCCACTTTCTAAATATGCCAAGATTTTTTTCCCAATTCAGAAACCTGAGATAGAATACTTTTATGTATATATTCAGTGACTATCTAATACCTACTACTCTCAAAGTAAGCAACTCCTCTCCAAGAAGAAAACTTCTCCCACTCTTCAATCCTCCCACTAAATTGTTAGTGCACCATAGATTCTTCCCTCAGGGCATACCACAAGTCTTAATTCCAAGCGAGGTGCTAGAAGTTCATGCCTGTAATCCTCGCTACTCAGGCTGTTGAGAGCTGAGAATCACAATTCAAAGCCAATCACAGCAGACCAATCTCTGAGACTCTTAATCTCTAACAAGCAAAGAAGTGAGACATGGAGCTTGAGTGAAAAAGCCAGAGTGAAAGGTCTTGAGTTCATGTTCCAATACCAGAACAACAAAAATCGAGAAGTCTTTATTCCATATGTACATGTCATTCATTAAAGACTGCTTGCCTATTAGATAGGAAGTCTCATGAACCATGTCTGCTATAAGTACCTATGCAGGAATTACAGAGAAAATGAAAACCTTTTTGAATTCCACTGCAGAACACGAATAAAGACAAATCGTAATATATGCTACTATTCTAGCTCCAGAAAAAAAGCTTCTCAGATTAAGAACTCTAACAAGACAAGACAGAACACAGAATCTTTTTCTGTATTGACTTTGTAAAAGAAATACTCAGGTTTCAAACATTCATGGGAAACATGTAATTTCAGAAGAATCACCATTAAATAAATAATAATGACCACTTAATGATACCCATACAGAGAAACAAAATTTAAGAGGTTGAGAGAAATTTAACATGTATCACTTCTTTGTTACAAGATTAATTACAAGAATGCATTACTGCATGAGAATTCTTTGTTTAGAAATAGTGATTCTGGTTGGTTAAATCCACATACATGTATGTATGAAGCTGCTACAATAATGTACTTACCTTTATTTTTAATCTGAGAGAAAAATTACATGGAGAAACGCATAACCACCAAATATTTAACCAAGATATACTGGTAACTCTAAAAAGTCAAGCTACTGATATATGTTGGGTTACTCTCAGAAAATGAGCACAATTTCTGATGGAGAGTTACATCATTAAAAGAAGTACTGCCAAATGTCCTAAATACAAAACAGATGCTCTATATTAATAATTTTGTAGCCTGCAACCTGGTTAGTGTGTTGTGATTATTCAAAATTATCATATTTTCAGATACCATAAAATCTGTAGAGAAAATCTGCAGATTATTTTGGTATCCATTTATATAAAGACTTGCCTAAGGCCTATAAAAATGTACAAATATTACCTAAGGGTTAACTGTAATATTAAGTCCCTAGGTAAGGTTATAAAATGTATTTTACCTAGTATAACGGGACTAGGTATTTGGAATTTAAATACGCAATATGTATGTTTATAAATTTATGAACTTTTTGCAAGATAATTTAAAATTGGCTTGGAATTTAATATTATTTACAACTTACACATTTTTTTTTGGTTGTGATGGTGATGGCGTTTTTGATGGTCTTCCTCGTCCTTTCTGTGGTGTGGACTGTGTGGATTCAACTGCACTAGTTTCAGGAGATTCTGCTCTGCTTTGGGAAGACCCAAATGTGGATAGCATCAAATTATGATTTATAATATGGTAAGAAAACAGAGGTAGTCTAGAGTTACCCACACTTACCTCTGCTGTGCTTTCCTTGATGTGCGGTGCTGTTTGCTTTTTGACTTCTGTTCTGTATTTCCACTCTGTCTCTCTTCTTCTTCTTCTTCCTCTACTGCAGGTGGCCCAGATTTTTTTTTATTCCCTTTTTTAGATGTTTTCATTGTTGGCTCTTCTTTTGGTGTCCCTCCACCAAGAGGTTTTGGTGGCCGACCTCTTTTGCCCTTTTTTGGTGGACTGTTCTGTTCATCCTCATTTTCTAACAGATCTTCTTTGAGCCTCTTTTCCTCAGACCACTGCTGCTCATCTGATTCTGAAACTGTATGTCCTCTTTTCCGCCCTCGCTGACTGCCTTTAGGTTTCTGCTCCTGTACCAACTTAGACAGGTCATCCATTCCTAATTTCTCTTCTGGGTCTGTGACAGGAGTTTTTTTCCGGCTTCTAGGCTTCTCCAATTCTGACTGAAGAAGAAAGAAATCAAAATTTTAAAACTTAAGTTTACTTGTGTGTGTGTGTGTGTGTATGTGCACATACGTGTGCGCACATGAGGACATGTGCATGCCAGTCCTGGAGCTTCAACTTAGGGCCTGAGCAAGAATAATGAGCTTTTTTGCTCAAGGCTAGCCTATCACTTGAGCCATAGCTCCGCTTTTGGCTTTTTTGGTGCTTAATTTGAGAAGAGTCTTCTGGACTTTCTTGCTTGGGCTGGCTTTGAGCCACAATGCTCAGATCTAAGCCTCCTGAGTAGCAAGGATTACTAGGCCTGAGCCAATGGCACTCAGCTAAGTTTTCTTTTTAAACAATGAAACTGTCTACCCAGGGTAGAGCACTTTGTCATTCCCTAAATATATAAATAAATGAGAGACATAAATACTCACTGCTTCATTATTTTGGTTTGTTATTGTTTTGAAGCTGAAACCTCACTCTATTACCAAGTTATAAATTCAAGTGTTCCCTCCCACCTTGGCCTCTAGGCTAGAAGCTTGCAGTATGAGCAACCCCAATTCTTCACTTTTTTTTTAAATCCCATTTTCATTCTCACTTTTAAGCAAAAGAGCCTCAAAGGGATACATCTCAAGATCAGCATTTTATTAAACTATACATCTTATTAGTGAAGAGCTATTTAATGAAAAGGAACTCAATTGGTCCTAAAAAAGAATTAAAATATTAGTTTAGTACATAAAACTTAAAATGACTAATTTTACTATATAGGACATAATACAACACTAAATACTAAGTTAGCTATTATGTTTACAACATAATAAAAGAAATATTTTTAGTTTCTAAATGGAGGTCATAAGATTTGTAAGTTAAACATATTCATCACACATGAAAAATTCTAGACTATGAGGTGGCTCCTGCCTATAATCCCAGATGGTCAGAAGATAGCAATTGGGAGGATCTCAGTACAAAGCTAGCCAGGGCAAAAAGTTAGACCTCATCTCAACCAACAAGCCAGGTATATCAGGAGGGGTAGGAGGACTGCAGTTCAAGATTAGTCCCAGGCAAACTAAAACAAGACCCCATAGAAAAATAAAGCAAAAATGGGGTTTGGAGCACAGTATGGATAATTCTGGTGATACTGTACTTGTCTAATAAATGAAAGGCTCTGAGTTAAAACCCAGTACTGTACCTTCCCCAGAGAAATTCTGGAAATACTTCTGAACCCTAAATGGTGTTAATGACGTTAACAACTAACAAAAGCAATTTTTAAAAATCCATGGCTTGGCCTTAAAAAATAAGATTAACTAAGTCTATATTCAGAAAACTTACGTATGTACAACCAGATGGAGATTCAGAAATTCTCCAGACCCAAGAATGAAAATGCATGTATAATGTAAATTTAGTTTCCCAAAAGTCTGTACCAATTTATACGTAAATCAATCAAAGGGCAGGGGGCTTGCCTCAGTAGCCGAGTACCTGCCTGCAAGTGAGAAGTGCTGAGTTCAAACCACCAATAAAAATAAAATGAAGGAAACAGAGGGGAGAGAAAGAGAAGATAAGGGAAAAAAAGAAAATTAGGAAGGGAAGGGAAGAGAAATGGGTAAGAGAGTGGAAGATAGATGGGAAATGGGAAGGGGAGAGGAGAAAAGAAAACCAATAAAAGAAAAACAAAAACCATCATTATTCATTGTACTTCCTCTGTTTGTAAACTGCTCGACTATGACCTTGTTATTACTCTCCTTTCCTATTTGTTTATTGGCTTCTGATTTAAAAGTAGATTTTTTTTTTCCGGTCGTCGGTCATGGGGCCTGAACTCTGGTTCTGGGCGCTGTCCCTCAACTCTTCAGCTCAAGCTAGTGCTCTACCACATGAGCCACAGCACCACTTCCAGCTTTTTCTGTTTATGTGGTGCTAAGGCATGGAACCCAGGGCCTCATGCATGCCAGGCAAGCACTATACCACTGAGCCATCTTCTCAGCCCTAAAAGTAGGTATTTTTTATTTATTTCTTCTATCCTTTTGTGGATGTTTAAGTTTTATTTTGGATTTTCTACAGACTGAAAATGCTAACGTTCTAACCATCCACTATTTGGAGATGGGGCCTTTTGGCAGTAATTTGATTTAGATGAAATCATGAGAATGGGGTTTTCAGGAGGACCCAATGAAAGAATAGTATTCCAAGATAGGAAAAGAGGTCTCATCAAAACCTAAGTTTCTTCCCCCATTCTCACCTTCAAAGACATATCTAATCATCTGAAAACTATGGATTTATAACACAATTATTTTGAATTACATTTTCAAAATAAGAACAATTCTAGACTAATGTAACAGCAGCACAAGATTTTACTATATAAAGAAAAGTTTTTTATATCCATTTATTTTCCCACATGGACTTAAAATCACACCAGAATTTTACAATTATATATTTATTAACATATTTTTCTACTCCTTTTTCTCATGCAGGAACACCACATGTCTTCAAGTCTTCTATGTGCCACTAAATTTATTTTTAACCTTAAATAGCAGTACAAAGGAATTTCAATTCGATACATATCAATTTATGTGCTCAATACATATTGATTCGTCAACTCTTCATTTTACCGTCTATCCTAACACCACCTATTCCCTCAATAACTTGCATTGTTTTATCAGATACACATTTGAGATCTTTGTCATTACAATAACCTCTGCAATAAATAATGTTAATCAATAGATCAATATAAACATCTTAAAAAGGAAAAATTTCCAAACCAAGATACATGCATACACATGAGTACCCATATACTAGGTCCTTACTTTGTCATTTGTTTTTTTTCCCCCTACTATCCTTACTTTGTCATTTGTTTTTTTTCCCCCTACTATTACAAAAACAAAACCAAAACAGGGATGAATGTCTCTTCTTTTTCACTGTTATTTCAAGTCTTTCTGAGTTGGCTCAACATTCTAGGAAGAACAATTTAAATAACAATAGTCACTGCTTTTGTTCCTTATCCCCCTTCCATGCAATGAGGATTACCTACCATTAAGCCTCCCGACACATTTTGTAGTTGGTTTTTTTTAGGTTGTTGGGGGGGAGGGGGTGGGCAAGGGGGGGGAGCCCTTTAGATATGGTCTTTTGTTATCTCTCCTTAAACTGACACCAAACTCTCATCTTTCTACTTCCACCTCTTGAGTAGCTAAGATTATGGATGTGTGCCACTAAAGAATGTTTTTCAGTATTTTGCCTTTATGGATAACAATTATTACTGACTTAAAGCAGATAAAAATATCAAAATGTTGGGGCTGGGAAGGTGGCTCAGTGGTACAGCGCTCGCCTTGCATGCATGAGGCCCTGGGTTCAATTCCTCAGCACCACATAAGCAGAAAAAAAAGCCGGAAGTGGTGTTATGGCTCAAGTGGTAGAGTGCTAGCCTTGAGCTGAGGGACAGCACCCAGGCCCACAGTTCAGGCCCCACAACTGGACCTCCCCCCCGAAAAAATAAAAATGTTAAAAGAAGTATCTTTCTGGTATTAGTTTACTACAAAACTTAATATAGTTGACTCTATGTTATCAGTATGTGTTTCCAAGAACACACAGGAAAAACTGAAAATTCTCAGATGTACAAAGATGCTGTAGATGCCATTTGCTGCCCGCCCCACTTCCTCTAAAGACATGCTTCCATTCAACAAATCTGAACATTTTCTTTATCACTCTTGCTGGAATTATCACAACTTTTATTCTGCTTTTGGGTCACCATTTGTTTTGGGGAGGCACATTTCCACAAAATGAAGGGAGGCGGGCTGGGAATGTGGCTTAGTGGTAGAGTGCTTGCCTAACAAGCATTAAGCCCTGGATTCAGTTTCTCAGTACCACATAAACAGAAAAAGCCAGAGCTGGCGTTGAGCACAGAGGCTCAAGCACAGAGGCTCAAGGTCAGCACCCAATCCCTTCAAGCTCTACAACCAACAAGAAAGAAAAGAAAGAAAGAAAGAAAGAAAGAAAGAAAGAAAGAAAGAAAGAAAGAAAGAAAGAAAGAAAGAAAGAAAGAAGGAAGGAAGGAAGGAAGGAAGGAAGGAAGGAAGGAAGGAAGGAAGGAAAGAGAGAGAGAGAAAGAAAGAGAA